AAACAACGCGAATACACGAAATTAGAAATATAAAATGGCGACAATTTACCCATCACACCCTTTATCTCTATCTATAAAAGGCAGGATGTGTGTGTGTGTGTGTGTGTAACGAATGCACGGCCGCAATTTTCTACTACGTCAGTTTTCATGTAGTTTGCGGCGATTTTCTACTGGCCAGAGTGAGATCCTATAGCTGGCTGCCACGAATAAGCAGGAAGATTCTATTGGCCAACGTGAGAGCCAACAGCTGACTGACACGAATGTTAACTAGCATGCAAAAAAATCGATAGTTGCATTCGTCACAAGTGGGAAAAATTTAAATCTGCATGGCACTTTACTCCAATTGGCTCATTCGCTTGCTTAAACTCAACGTTGAATCTGATTCCGCAGAACTCGGTTGAGTGTGAAAAAGTATTTGTTAACATTCTTTTTTCATTCTATTTTTCCAGTTACGAATCCTTTTTTAAAGCTGATCGTTTTGTGTTCATTTTGTTTAGTTCTTTTTTTGTAACAGATTTAATATTTAGTATAGAGCTTAGAAAAAATTCACAATGTGAGATAGGCATGTAGCAACATCAGCACGGCAAAGGGCACTCCTTTAAAAGCAAGGAAGGGCAAAAATATTTTAAGTCAAGTGATAGCGATTGCTGTATGAGTTGTGCGATTTTTGAACCAAGCACGGGCAACGCCGGGTCATGCTGCTAGTTTATTCTAAATGGAAGTTACTTCCTCCTATTTCTTGGTTTTAACGACAGATCGCCAACTTCTTGAAAAACCTGTTCGTATAAGAACCTCTCGCCACTTGAACATACACTCGTAACAGGTGGAAGGTGATATCGATCCCATAGAGAAAGCCTGACCTAAAAAAAATCTATGCAAAAGGTCACATTATATTCCTTCTTTTCAACATGTTATTTTATACGTATATAAACACAGAAATGTACTTTCTATGTAGCAAGCTAAATTATTTTTTTTAAATTCTCTTCCAAAGTTACATTTGTATTTTCTTAATTATGTAACAGCAGCGACAAAGTTTCATTCCTGATTACATCATTTCTATAAAAGATATATTTTATATCTATAATAAATAGGAATCAGTCCTATAATAAATAGAGGTCCTCTATAATAAATAGAAATTATCGCTATAATAGAGAGCATTCCTATAATAAATAGAGATTATTTCTATAATAAATAGAGATCAAACCTATAATAAATAGGAATCATTGCTAAAATAAATAGAGAGCATTCTTACAATAAATAGAGATCATTTTCTATAATAAATAGAGATAATTCCTATAATAAATAGAAATGACCTTTAAGAAATAGAGATCTTTACTATAACAAATAGGAATCATTTCTATAATAAATAGAGATAATTTTTATAATAAATATAGATCATTTCTATAATAAGTAGAAATTAGAGAAATTAGCAGCAGCTTGCCCTGGAAATCTTTCGCGCCAAATAATGATGCGTTCAATTACCAGTAACCAGCCATCTTAAGTTTAGGTCGAGGCTAAAAGGAAACTAAAAATCAAATACAATTTACAAAAATATAAAATTAAGTCTATCGTCCAGTGAAACTAGGTATTTACATTAGGAATAAAAAAAAATTAAAAACTACTTTAGAGTCGAAGGAGGGTGAAAAAAATTAAAAAAAACAGAAAAAAGAAAAATTCGGAAAGTTTTCACAAAAAAAACAGTAAGAAAAATTAAAGTTCGACAACGTAAAATGCCAGTTCTTTAAACACAAAAAATATAAATGTACGCTCCACACGGTAGTGCTACGAAATCTCATCTGGCGCTTGGCGAGACTTGAACTGGTCTGAAAATAGAGGCAATCCAACTACGGTAGTCCGATAGCGAAGAACACATCTGAAGAATTCCCATGAAAGTATTTATTTAAAAAAAACGACACAGAGACGGAACCTTATGGCGATGGGAAAGTTACTGAAGCTGAGGCGCCTGATCAGGATCGATAATATTGCTGATTTTTTTTGGAATTTTATCAAGCAGCTCAAGGTAAATAACAAGGCCACCGGACGATATGTGGCAGCAATATTCTAAGCATGAATGTATGGCAGACTTATAATATGATAGATTCTGGAGAGAAAAAAATTGTCTACACAGTGAGCCAACTTTCTTATCAACATATATATATATATATATATATATATATATATATATATATATATATATATATATATATATATATATATATATATATATATATATATGATGAGAGCGAAAGTAATATATAAATTACAACGTTCACAGCATTAATCCAAAAGAGGGCTCGATACCGATAGTAGAGCGATAATTATTTATTTATTATGATTTTATCATAGAGACAAAACCATTTTACTCACTACAAAGCAAGTTGCATCTTTGTAGTGATTAAAATGGTTTTGTCTGTATGATAAAATTATTATAAAGGAATATATATATAGAGAGAGAGAGGGAGAGAAAGAGAGGCGTAAGGTAGAAAGAAAACAAACATCAGTTACAGTTTTACATCGAAAACGCTAAGAAGACAAGGTCGCTAAGCTTTAAATTAAAATTCTAAACTTTTTAACGCCCGATGCATCTAGATTTCTAATAGCCAAGCACACACTGACAATCCTCACCACTCCAAAAGCAACATTAGAAAGAAAGCTCCCATCAATACGGCGAAGAACAATAATAACTACTCGATTGAGAAACCTATTTTCCTAAAAAGATTTTTAATAGAAAGGTTCGCGTGACTGCTAGCATTATTCGTTAGAGTCACTTAATAGTGGAAAGGAATTTCCAGACAGAGGGAAAACAGAAAAAAATATTAAGATAACAGAAACTAATTAGTTGAAAAAAAAAAGATCCTATCAAAAAAATAGAATTAAATCTCATATGTATTCTTAATCATATGTACATACAGACAGATGTGTTGAATTCCCTGTTTTAAGGTGACGGTTAATAAGCTTAAGCCTTTGATCGCAAGTTCGATCCCCACTGAATCCCATACGTTCGTTCTGCTAAGCATAGTAATTAAAAAAAATCTATCATTAGTTTCATAAGAGACTGCGAATCATTTCGATCGTTAGAAAGCAATCTAAAATCGTGGCCTTGTGACAGACTGTGCTAAAATTAATAAATACAGTCAACTGCAGTAAACACTTCCTAAACACTCCATTGTTGTGGCCTAGTGCCAGACTTCGCTGACATTAATAAACAAAGGGTCTTCCTCTAAAGCATCAGTTAACAACTTTCCGTGGTGCTTTCAGTGCGTTCAGCTTTTACTAATCGCTCGACTATTGCAGCCTAATAACAGACGATACTAAGTTGAGCAAATAACAACTGCAGTAAGCGATACTCGCCTGGCACGTTTCGCAATACGAGGGAATTCGATCCTCAATGACTGTCTCTACAAAGTTTAGTAGAAATAGTAGAAATTCGATCCAATAGCAGAAGCAAAAAAAAACTATCGGGAGTATCCACCATAAAATATTCAGGACAATTTCTAAACTGGACCAAAAAGTAAGAAATTGTACGGGTAATGTACAGTACAATTAGCTCAAAAGAATTAAATTTTTAAGGCATATATAGGAGTAAAACCAACTCTTCTGCAAGGAATCGACTGAATTACTCACTTTCTGAAAGTTGATATTTTTCAAAATCCATGCCATATATTTATTTTAACACCTAATATTTTCAATTTTGACTTGTATTCATTTAAACTTGATTTTCATTACATAAAGTAACGTCAACCCTTATTAATTATTTTAACTGATATTTATTTTCAATTTAATTCATATGAAGACAATACTTCAACAGATGTTATAGCCAGGCGCTATAGAATCACAAACAGAGGACGTTACCAAATAACAAAAACCACATCATTTGAAGACTTCCAACAACAATAACTATTAAAATACATAGTGCACTTATGTAGATTGATTTGATTTTTACGGCTTATCAACCTTTTGCAGGTTATTTAAAGTCAGTTATATTGTGAGAATGTTTTGAAGATAATAATGAATTTACTGATACATGGCGTACTAATTAACCCATAACTGGGAGGAGAAGACGTAGAACCATACTTTTGGGAAAAAGTATGATTCTATCTCTTCTGCTCCCAGTTTTGCTTGTAAGTGAATATAACGAATCCGATTGGAACTGGAAATCAACCCTCCGATTTCCAATTGCTACTCATTACACCATCCGCATATACAAGCTAACAGTACCGGGCATTCCCAAATGGTCATCCTTTAAGATACTGACGAGACTCTACGTTGCTTAACTTCAGTGATCATACGAGAAATCGTGGTTTCAACGTAATATAGCCGGAGGTTCTTTATACCACCCGCACATCCAAGCTTACAGCACCTGGTAGTCCCAAGCGGTCACTCATCTAGTTGTAGAACAGACTCGACTTTGCTTAACTTCGGTGATCGTACAAGAACCGGCGTTTCCCCGCACACGTATGTAAACTGAAAAATAATGGTATAATGAGATAGATAGATAGATAGATAGATAGATAGATAGATAGATAGATAGATATGAACAGACTGGGATACATAGATAAATAGATATGAACAGTAAAAGATAAGTAAAGAAAAGAATTGAAATACATGTGATGGCTTCGACATATATATATATATATATATATAGAGAGAGAGAGAGAGAGAGAGAGAGAGAGAGAAAGAGAGAGATGAACAGATAGATATAGAAAGACAAATATAGATCGATATGAACAGTGAAATAAATAAAAAAAGAACTGAAACGTAAGTGATGGATTAGATAGATAGATAGATAGATAGATAGATAATGAACAAACTGATATACATTGATATTAACAATAAGAGATCAGTAAAGAAAAACTGGATATATATATAAGTAAACGAAGATGATTGGCCGAGATGCTCCCCGCATATTCAGTTTATTCTCTTACTGGATATTAATTACCCGATTTATTTTGGCTGACGTGAAGATAATCATCAGAGTAAATTGCAGACTCTGCTGACACATGCCGCTGGCATTGCTCGCAGTTTCTACTTATATTAAAAGAACTTAAAAACTAACCTCACTCATTGACTTGATTTTGCTCAACCACAATCTGTAGTTTCCTCTCTTTCTTGCTCTCTATAACCTATCTTTTCTCTCTCTCTCTCTCTCTCTCTCTCTCTCTCTCTCTCTCTCTCTCTTACACACACACGCACTCGCTCTTTCTACGCCCACATTTACTGACTTGATTTCGCTCAACCAATCGCTCTAGTTTTCTTCCTCAATATTATTTTTCTCTGTCTTCACACTCTTTCGATCTCTCCATCTATGTCTATCTCTCTCTTTCTACGCCCACACTGACTCATTTGATTTCTCTCGTCATAACGCTCTAGTTTTCATTCTCATTATAATTTCCTTTCTATCACCATTCTATCTATCCCTGTCTGTCTGTCTGTCTGTCTGTCTCTCTCTCTCTCTCTCTCTCTCTCTACAAAAGGTCAATTTATCTTCTGTGTTCTCTCTCTCTCTCTCTCTCACTCTCTCTCTCCCTCCTTTCCTTTAGTATTAAAATTACGCTCAAAATATTGTGCAATCCTTTCTGCTGCCACTCCTACATACGGGAGACTGTTCTATTTTCAGCAGAACAAGGACCATCCACAGGATGCCTGTTCTACTCAACAGGTGCTACAGTCATAGAACAATAAAGCTCATGTTGATATTCACCATCTATATGATGTTATGTATGCAAGTTTCTAGCCCTACCTGGTGACGCCTAAAGTATAGTATATTTCTATGGGCTCTGAAAAATGTTGCTAAACCCCTTTTTTTACCTGTCTTCGTATTGATCTGTATATGTGATCAAAACAGTAACCCAGTTATGGTAGCTTTTCCTTTCCTACGTTTGAATTTCCATCAGTTAAATTTAATTTTCGACCAAATTGAAAGGTTTAAAAAACAATTCTTTATTAAATGTTTAACTATAGTTTCGCTTTTCTTCGCAATAGCAATTGATATCCATTAATTAAACCATAATTAAAACTTAATCGGGGTCCGTTACGTTGCTCATATCTTTTTTTTTCTTTCTTTCTTTTAGCACGCGTACTGTCGCGAATTCGAAATAATGTCTTTTATAAAGGGATCTTAATGATTGGTGATTTTGAAAGAAAATAAAAACTGCGCGCAAAATAAATGTAAACAAACGACGGAAGTCCACTGCGTATACGAAGAAAGATTAGGCCGAATTAAGGTGTCGAATAAAGATAAAATAATTTTTACTATTTCTAAATTTTTATAACTTTTGCACGCATGGGAAACTGAAGTTAAAAGGCAGAATGCCCCCCCCCCCGCAAGAGTTAGGTAAAAGTCCGCTGGGCAGATTTTTACGTATATTCGCTGTGGGGAAAATAGAAATGGCTTACCTCCCAAACGTCCTCGCGTCTGTCTGGCCTGTGGGTTGAGAAAAGAAAGAAAGGGTCCAAGATGGCGTCCGTGACTTTTAATATTCATGGTCTCGTGCAGTCTCGCAAGGTCGCGTTACATGCATGCTAATGAGGTGTGCCTGGGCTCCATAAAAGCAGGTCGCTTGGAGAAATTGGCAGAAGTCATTACACTCGTGTTCGGTATACATTGCTTTGCGTTGTGTCTGACATTTTCCTACGGAAAGAGTTGCGTCCCTTACACTCCATATTGAATTTGACTCCTTTGCTACATTCGCCTTAGTAAAAGAGGAATTAAACTTATTTAATAAAAAGAGGCCACTGCTCGGAAGCCACTGTTTACCCGGTATCATGTCGTTGGGACATATATTAGTCAAGTTCATGATGATGGCTTCCAACAAACCTATGGTATTGTGGAGATACTAGTTGATATCTGCCTCAATGGTAACTTATAAGTAGTAACCCAGCTGATTAGAATCAAGAGGTTTGGTTCTATTTCTCCTCCAACACTGTATATATAGGACTCGAACGATCTAACTATTATTAATTTGAATATGTCCTTCCTAGGGATGAAACGTATAACATAGAATATTATATTTTTCATTTGTCAGACAATTACGCAATACAGCCTTCTTTTTAAACTAACACTGTATAAAGAAGCATCCATAATCAAACTGCGACACTACTTCGCAAAACTAAATATCTTTTATATATTATTTGATCTTGTCAGTGACAAGGGAAACAATTAATTTTTTGCCGTTGTTTACTATTTTTGAACGTGAGCGTCTTTGTAATGGAGAATATTAATTAAGACGGCTCTTTAGATATCAAGTGTTCTACAAAATAATTTATTGACTCTCGTTTTTTTTTATTCTCATGAAGACAAAATGTATGTCTAAATTTTTGGCACCCCTGCAGACAAATTAATCGTCTGCGTGTTTCCTACTCTTGTACAGACCAAAGCGATGTCCACCTTTTGAATTATCGGTCAAAAACAAACTTATGTTTATCTGACCATCGTATATACCAGACGTATGTCTACATTTATCATACTGGTGCAGACAAAACCTCTGTCTCAATTTTTTTTTTATTCTCGTGAAAATCAACCATTTTCTCTTTCAACCATGTACTCTCGCGCGAAAAGCAAACGTCGACAATTTTTACTCACGTGCAAACAAAACCTACATCTATTCTTTTCTCTCTTGTTCAAAGCAAACCAAAACCTATCCTATGTTAACCTTTTTAACTCTTGTGCAGACGAAGCCTGTGTCTATTTTATTCTTCTTCTGCAAACCAATCCCCTAACTTTTGAACTGTTGTGCAAACCAAATTTATCTCTGTTTATCAAAACAACAGAATTCCTTATTTAACCTTGCAAGGTTTTATATGACGTAAAACAAACCAAACCTTTCTTGAAGTTGAATTGTTCGCCGATTGTCGCTACTCTTTTCTGTATCTCAAACAAAGAACCACTTCATCATCGTGAATGCAGATGATTTTGAATCCATCTAATGACACGCCTGCTATCGACTTAAATAGCTAAATTTTCAAAACCGATCATCCACCTTAACAAAAGTATGTTATATAACCCTCTCATATCATCTCTATATAACATATGTTCCATTATAAAAGAACGATAATTTTTCTGATTAATTTAATTCTTTGGGGAAAATCAATGAACTACTGACTATTCAGAGAATGTTGAATGGGGCGTAACGATTACTATCCTTTAGACGACGGTTCTTTCGAAAACGTCGTATATAAAATAACTTTTAATCTTAATATCATCATCGCTTGCGGCATAATATTTGACACCCACAGACAGAGGCTGTTATGCAGCAAAATGGTAGGTCGATTCTCTTGTCCATATAAACGTCCTTTTAGAATCGATGTCATTCGAACGCGCCAATTGCTCACTACGGCGTTGCGCACTACGTTTGTCCAGCTTCCAGTCATTCGTAATTAAATTCTATTTGTGCTATGGTGACCCGTCTAGATTAGAATGAACTCTTCCTCCTTCATAAATACTAACCTGCGAGACTTCCTAAAGGAGGCAGTCGGGACGCAGCATAACCTGACAGTTTGGATGGACACTTCTATCTGATGACTAATAACAATCTTATTTTGTATATATGTTCTGTTATTTCAATATACTTCTTCAACCTACCTTCTTCTTTCCGTATCTTTCTTTCTGATCTATAACAGGCCACAACAACTTGAATCATAGCAAACAAAGACAAGACTATGTTCCCCAATGCGAGGATTGCTGAAAAGTTCTCAGCCTGATCAGGAATTATTCCACATATTAACTCAGCATTACACGTGGCTTATAGCTTTTTAATAACTTTAGCCTCTCCAAGAAATGTTTGGTCATTGAAATACTGATTTTAGGAAGTGCGTCTGACCGAGAAATCGTCAATTCTCCCCCGCAGATTCCGTTTAGATTAAAATATTGAAGGCTGGCTATTATTTAGTGTCGATATTATTCGTTACAGATACTTATAATAAATAACTTTTTCACCACTCTCTTATCTAAATATAATATTACTGTGCCCAGATAAAAAGCTAACTGTTGATGATTTCCTTAAGTAGATCTGAAGGACATTTTCCAAGCATTGATTTTATCCAATAACTTTTATCTGACTGACTGCACATACAAAAAAGCTGAATAAAATTTTAAAACACTTCCATAACATTCATAATATTAAATAAGGCCGATTTGACACATGTTGATCACATGAATGAAAACAAAATGTACTCCAAGATTTTATTACCAGATAAGACAGTATTTTAATATATATTTTTTTAATAAAAACGTGACAGTAATAAAAATAGACCAATGTTTTGTATAGATTTAGTTCTCTAACTTTAAAAGTAAAAAAACAGTCGTTTTTCTTTGTTTTGTAACGGAATTTAATAAAAACAATCGTATTTTTTTAATCATTTCACCCCAAGCAAGCCGGGAATGCCACTAGTATGCAGAAGGTTACAGACAGTGAAAGTGAAAGTGAAAGACTGAGTCGAGGGAGGATTTAAGAAAAAAGATAAACGATGAACGGGATTTAAGAAGACAGAAGGTTGCGATGGACGTTGCATTTAATATTTTGAAAACTATAGTTTTCAAGGGAGCAAGTAAATGGAAGAGATTTCCACAGATGAGAAGTACGAGAACAGAAACTGTTGGGGTAGAAGTGGCGGTTATATTTAACTATTTGAACGGTAAAAGGGCGAGACCTTGATACCAGTTTAGTAGCACGCTTAAATTTACGTAGTCGGGCCACCAGGGAAGAAAGCTCGTCAAAGCAGTTGCCATTAAAATATTTGTAGAAAGGACAGAGGAAAGCCACATCCCCTCAGTGAGAAAGTGACTGATGTTGACATGCCAATTCAGGATCAATTACACTGTAGATACTCCTTTGGATTTTGTCAAGAACCTCAAGGTGAGTAGCAGGAGCACCCAACCGGATATGGCAACAGTATTGAATGCACGGACGAGTGGTAGATTTGTAAATGGGCAAGATGGACTCTGACGTGAAAAATCTTCTGGCACGACACAGTAACCCAGTTATCCTTGCAGCAGATACAAGGCATTTTATATTTATATATTTTGGAATTGTAATTTATATAAAATTTTACAAAAAATTACATTTCGAGTAGCTTACCTTTTCATAACTTTCTAAAAAGTAAATGCCATTTAAAGAGCCACTTTTTAGCAAAGAATTTATTAGCATATATATATATATATATATATATATATATATATATATATATATATATGTCTGTATGTGTGTGTGTGTGTGTGCGCGCGCGCGAGCGTGTTTTGTAGGCATCAATCTCTCTTTTGTACAAATTTCATTAAAAATGACCGGCAATGTACTGCGGTTAAGTTTTTTTATTTAATTTTTCTTGTGTTCTTATAATTTTCTTCTTTTCTGGGTTTAAATTATGTCGAAATTATTTACATTGTTCGCACTATCATCCTTATCTTTGTTGCCATATTTATTACAGCATTTCGGCCGTTGTACGCTCCGATCTGGTTCAGGTGGGATGGAATGTCGAACTGAACCATTTATTTCGCTCGCTGGGGTAGACTGTTCTAGTTCCACGTGCCATGTCTAATGAATG